CATCTCCATAACGTGTTTTCTTTGATCCTGCTCCAGATTACATTTTAAATAAATAGGGCAATGATCTGAAAGGTGCATGATCCCCATGTCGCAGCCCTCCACCCTGTGTAGATCTTTACCAAAGGTTAGAAAATAATCAATCCTTGAATAAACCAAATGTGGATTAGAAAAAAAAGTATAGTCCCTCTTTGAAGGATTTATTTCTCTCCAGACATCTACCAAACCTATATCCTCCATTGCCAAATTGATGTTCTTGTTTATCAAACGAGTCTTGTTAAGCCAAACTGTAAAATAAATGTTTTATGTATTCCGGTTGTAGTTGGTAACTTTTAGCACCGAATGTCGGGAGCATGATCTTTAAGCAGCCATCGCGTCGCTCACCAAACCGCGCTCAGGGCCTTTTTCTACATGATGGTCCAGATTTTGGGAGCAGTGGCTGGCAGTGCCATTGTGTATGGCATCAGGCCAGAAACCAAAGATTGACTTGGTGTTAAAAAAGCAAGTTGCATTCCTGAGTAACAGTCTCCTTAATGAATAACAGGTGCTGCGCAGATTGAGTGCTAATTGGTGAATTTCCTTCAGCCAACATTTTCTGCAGAAGCAATTAACTTGTTGTCGTTTGTTCTCATGAAGACTTGAATCATGTTGCCAACTAAAGCGTGGTCCAACTCTTTAACTGCAGGCTTTATTCCATTTCCGTTTGATTATTTTCTTAGTGCAGGTGTTGCAGAAGTCGAGGCAAAATGTTCCTCTAATCATAATTAACAAAATAGGTAGATGGCTAACTGAAGTGTTTTTCTCCTTGTTACAGCTCAATGGAATTAGCCCATGACAAGGCTTTGGTGTGAACTTCCTGCTCACCCTGCAGTTGGTCCTGTGTGTGATGGCAGTCACCGACAAAAGACGTGACGTTGGTGGATTTGCACCTCTTGCGATCGGCTTGTCTGTAGTGCTGGAACATTTGGCTGGGGTGAGTAGCAAAACATTTCCACCCTTAACTAAATTGGTAGATGGTTTCTATTTCTCGCTGTGGCCACTGGCCATACAATGGATTGGCACGAAATTCAAAAGATTCACTATTCAAAGGCTTTATTGTCATGTGCACAATAGCTAAAGCCTGGTTGCTGGCAATGAAAGTCCCAGGCTCCTTCAACAGCACAATATAAGACATACAAATAAATGAAATGAAATGGGATGAACTGTCTGTGAATGAGGCTCAGGAGACATGTGGTTTTTACAGATCAGCTTCACAGGATGCAGCACAATCCCTGGGGCCTGCAATTATACAGGAATCTTTTGATGACCATTGGGTGTGTATTGTTAAGCTGTAAATAATATTATTACAGTGCTGAATTTGTGAGCAGAGCTGTGTCTCGCCTGTTATTTTGTTTTTCAGGTGTACTGGGCAGGACCAATGAGTGGTGTTTCTCTTCTGTATGATTTTCTACTGGCACCCAGAAAGGAGCCCTTCAGAGAAAAAACACAAGTCCTCTTAAAATAAATGTACGTCGGTGAACCCTTTCATGAGGATATCACATAATGATCAAGGGAGCATTTTGGCATTGAAATAAAATACTTTTGTACATGAAGGCAGTAGACCTTTTTGAATGTCTTGAAATTAAAATGTTAGATACACGTATGTGGTAGACAAAACTGGTTTTATTTAAGGGTGGGCAAGTTGAAACCACTACTCAAACACTAGTATCAATATGCTGAAGATGTTTGCTAAGACTGCTTGATACATTTTGAAGCAGTGTTGTGAAGTGCATATCCTGCTCAGTCAGTGTTGGTGAGATCAGACATGAGATCACTGTTTCATTTGCCGTTACACTTTTCTTGTGTTTGGCAGGAATTGTCGAGCTTCGAGATGTGTCCTCCATGCCATGTTGCATAATTTAGCAGTGTGTGTGCCAGCAGTTCAGGAAGCGCAGGCAGCAAATCAGTTGCAGCAATAGCTACTCAAGTGTCATGTTGTGTGTGTGTGTGTGTGTGTGTGTGTGTGTGTGTGTGTGTGTGTGTGTGTGTGTGTG